CCCCCGCCTTTGCCACGCTTGCCTTGCGTCAACGCCATCGCTGTACCCTGCTCGAAATCCCCGTCGCCGTCCCAGGCCGACCGTTTTTTCGCCCCACCGCCTTGCCGCATTTCCTCCTCGCTGAAGCCACAGCGGTGCTGCAGCTTAACGGCCCATGCCTCGCTCAAATACTCGCTGACGAGCTCCACCGCAAGTCGAGCCTCCTCCCGCGTCGCTTCTGAGCCGTACACACGCGCATAGCCGGGTGAAAGGGAGTGGGGCCAGGGAGGGTTTATTGATAAATGAGAGGAAGCGCGTTGGGAAGGAGTGGGAGAAAGAGAGAGCGGACAACACACAAACATGTCCCAGCTAAAATCCCCCTCGAGCGAGTTGAAAGAACGCACCTCGTGTCTGCACTTTGCCACCGATCCCTGTGCTGCGCTTGTCTTCTCCCGTGCTGCCCCCCTGGGTGGCGCCAGCCTCGACCACAAACCCGGCGGCAAAGCCAGAGCCCATGCCGTTGTTCTCCTCTTCCCTGGCAGCCTCCAGGGCAACCAAGGCTTGTGTCGCGCGTGCCACCTTCTTGGCAAGCCAATCCATGGTCTTCTCGGCATTCAATCGGTACAAGAGCATGTCCTCACCGAGCTGGTCATTCACGTCGCACACCAGGTGCAAGTCCAACCCCTGACATTGCCGTAAAGCAAGGTAGGACTCGTCTGCTTCCGCGGCCAAAAGCTGTTCCAGCGGCGAAAAGCGTGTTGCACCATACTTCTCAAGAACCGGGAGGAGGAGGAGCTTGGGGTCTACAGGAGTGGCTACATATAGAAGCCCGTCCGACACCACACGCTGCTCGACGAACCAACTCCCAAATTTGCTTCCGGACGGCCGGAAGGATTGGAGCTCACAAAGTTGTGCCGCTGGTGAGAGCAGGTATTGCGATGGATATCCTCCGCGTGGATGCGTGAACGCAAGCACCTGGCCCAGTTGCGGGGAAGTCCGGCACGCTGTCGCTGTCGAAGAGGAAGGGGAGGGCTCGGATGACAAAATCGATTCAGGAACGCACAGCAATCGACTGCGCGGTACCTCAGAAGGTGCCATAGCCTAGAACGTGAGTGCGGGGGCGGAGAGCAATGTCGAAGGAAGAGTACCAGGTGAGAAACGCGTCGCGAAGGCGCCTGTCGGGGCGAAGCATTAATTAAATGTCAGCGATATTCTTCTTTTCGAGGGAAATAAAGCGAAGGACTCAGACCCAGCGAGAATGCGGCTGGTGCTTGTAAAGCCCACAATAAAATCTCGCAGAGACATCGATACGATGGAGTCGTCCATTAAATTTGCGTACTCTGTGGTTCTTCCGCAGAGTCAGTCTTTTGGGAGTGCATGCATCCTCGTATCTTTTTTGTTTGCTCGCCACCTCCCCCCTCTCACCTTCAGGCCTCACGCGAATGACCGCTAAACCTGCTGGACTGGGGCTGTCATGCCTCACTCCCACGCATAAGAGATGGGAATTGCTTGCGTGATGCTTTGCGGACAATGCAAGTGCCCGGGACGCGACAACGAAGCTTCGTTCGTCTGCTCATGCACCACGTCCCTTTCATCCCACTAGCTCTCTTTCATCGCACTAGCCTTCCTTTTCCTTCCGGGCGTGTGACGCGTAAGCCCCCAGCCCCATAATGGCGCCGTCGCCACCTCCTTCTAGCTCAGAGAAGGGCAAGGAGGCGTCAGACCCGCCCGCAAGCCTGGCTACCACTCGCAATGTCGTCATCGCCGTCCTCGTCCTCGGGGCCGTGGCCGGACAAGTCCTAGTCGCGCGCCGCAATACGCAGACCTTGAAAGACATCGCGAAACGGACAGGGGTTAAATTTGAGAAACCTCCTAAGAGCAAGAATGATGACGACTGGTTTTGATCGTGTCTCGTCGTCGTGTTCCTCCTTGCAAGGACGTGTGATGTGCTCCTCCGTCTCTCAGTCCCACGAGACGGAAGAGATGGAAATAAATGATTTACAGACACTTTGGGAGATGAAATAAATGCAAAGAAATAAACCAATCAACGTGGAACAAACACATTGTCGACAGGGATAAGGGATGGGTCGAGGGCCTAACGCAGGCGGCGGGCGTGGTCGTCGTGAGTTCGTGGCCCGTGGAGGAGCGGGCCGTGGGGGGCGCGGGGGGCGGGGGAGCGGAAGAGCTGCTGGTGGTG